GAAGTATAAGTGAACAGTGTGGAGTAACCAAATCATGAAGTATAAGCGTTTAACAAATATAAGTGTATCACGAAGTGGAAACGTTAACAAGTAGGAGTTTAAACTAAGTAAAAGCGAAATAGCAGTATCTAACAAGTAAGAGTATACGACGTGAAAGAGAACTTTGATGAAAACCTTGGAAAAACCTTTATACTTATGACAATCAAAACTTGGTATTCTATGGTAAAATAAGTTTGGAAACCTTTAGAAATTCTTTGGAAACCTTTCATAAACCAGTTTAAAATGAACTTTTATAAAACCGTATAAGTAAGAGTTTTGAACAAGTGAAAACATTTTAGAAAACCATTTATAGTATCCTACTCGGTAAAACAGTTTACAGTGTGGTAAATCCTTGTGCACGCGGATTATCAATCACATGTGATTGATATGATAACTGGCATGTTTAACTTGTATTCCCCCCCCCCCTAATAAAACATGTAAAACATTTAAAAGGTTCACTCAGGGGTATGAACTCACCTGTGTAAGTGGATCCGACGAAGGTGCCGGTTGGTTGCTCGGTGTCAAGTAAAGGCTTGGACACACTTAGTGACCTATTAACATATGATAATATATGTTTACATACAATTAGTACATATAATACCAATTAAACAAGTATACACATCCTAAAGTGCGGAAAACACTTTGATTAAGAGTTTGGAGTGTCCCGGTAACATTTAAAGGCTTGAATGGCTTAGGAATGGAGTTTACTCTCCAAGAGTAAACTCTATATATAGAGTTTACGGCCCTGGGACAACTCCCCATTAGTTTACGGCCGTAAACTTATGGTGGGAGTGTTCTAGGATCCTAAATGACCTTATATCACTTGTAGATTTATGTTAGGTCCAAATATAATGCATATGAAGGGATTTGAAGCTCTTAAGGGACGATTTGAGTAGTTTACGGCCCTAAACTAGGATTTTACGGTCGTAAGCTCCTACACACTCATTCTTTTGGTGTTTTAAGGTCTTAAATGATAGAGGGTAAATTCCTACGCATTTTTCTAAGTCAATTGGGGAGTTTAGGGCACCATTTAACCCCTTTATAGGATTTTACAGCCCAGGCACCCTTTCATGAGGGTTTTACAGCCATGAAATCCATACGGAGTTGCTTTAATCGAGTTTAAGGCCCTTAACTTGTTGGTGGTTGATTCTAGAATTCAATCTAAGGCTATTGGTGTGTTTAAGTGGCTTTTAAACACTCAAACATGAGTTTACTCCCCATGAAGAGGAGTTTATGGCCCAAGCATGTTCTTGGGCAGTAAAATCATGTTTACTCCCCAAAATGCTAGTCCAAGGTGTTCTAAGTCTGATTCCATAAGCCTACAAGCCATATCTAAGCCTTAGGGAGAATTTGGAGGGGTTTTGGGGTTTAAAACCCCATTAAATGGTGTTCACGGTCCAAGAGTGTTCTTGGGCCGTAAACACATGATTTTGTCCCTATTTTATGTTTTAAACACGAATTTTCATGCTAGGTAGGCTATACAACAAGTTAGGATAGTTTACCTACTTGTTTGGGGCTCGAAACGGACGATGTTTGACTCGAAATTAAGTTGTAGAGAGAGAGAGAATGGAGAGAGTGTAAAAAGTCTCCAGTGGACTCCACTCACCCTTATATAGGGGTTGGAGTTGGAGCTCAGTGGTATTCTACCCGATACTGCCGTTGAACGAGGTTTTTTGGTCGCACCCGATTAAACGGTCAAATTTTGACTTGGTGGAAACTAAAAAATTTCAAGGGGAAAATTGTAGTGTTTCTAATTTATTTCTACCATTACCAAGTCATTATAAAAGTCTCAAATTAATTAACCTCTTCCAAAAGGTTAACGGACAGTTTAAAAAAAACGAGGCTTATTAACGGAAGGAGTTAAAAATGACGGAATAAATTTCGGGCTGTCACAGATACTTTCACTAAGTCTGAACAAATTCACATTTTGAAAAAGACTGAAACTTCAACATCTGATGCTCAATCTAATTTTGCTTATATTGAAGATAATTATAACAATATCAGTGAAATTAGTGATCTTGAGGATGTTGATTGTTCTCAGTTGTCTATTATTAATGTTGCATCTTCATCTAAAGGGAAAGAAAAAGTTAATGATTTGTTCGTTAAGAATGATACTAAACAACCCTCAACTTCGAATGTTTGTGATTTGAACTTCGTGAAAATCAGAGACAGTCAAACAGATGATAGTGATGATGAAAAAGATGAGAAACATTCGAAGGAAAAGGTGTTTTCAAAGGAAGAAGAAATTCCTCAAATTGTAGTTGACGAGGTGTATGGTGATACAGAAAAGTATGAAAAAGTGTTGATATAACAAGGTGCTCATTACCTTGAAACAAATATTGTGGTGTATCCAATTTTCAAGTGTACAGATGATGTTGTGTTTCCAAACCAAGTGTTCGTAACAACTGCAAATGTTGAAAATGTCAAACCAGACTTCAAGAAATTGGTGGAACAAGACAATTTGAAAACATCAAATGAAGGTTCTTCGCTAATCAAAGCACAGTTGAAAACAATCTAACGAAGAATTCATATGTTTTTCAAAGACAAAAATCTCAGAGAAAATGGGTTGAAAAATCAAAACTTGAGAAAGAAGTCACCAAACCAATTTTTGAGGAAACGAAAAGTAGGGTCAAATTAAATTCAAAAGAATTCAAAGAAAAAATTGAAAAATTTTCGAAATAAAATAATGTTTCAAAAAGACAAGCAAGAAAGAAAATATTTTGGCAAACAATCGAGTCTCGAAAAACGTCACCTGAATTGTCGAAACCAGTTAAGTCTGTGAATTCAGACAATTATTCAGACAAAAAGAAAAATCCTGCTCATTCAAGCAAAAATGTGTCTGAATCAAAATCACCAAAATATATTTTCAAAGTGAAAAATTCATCTTTTTCAAAAGTAGAACAAGTTTATCGTCCAAAAAATCATACTAAGTTTGAAGTAAAAAAACCAACAAAGTTTTCGAAAGTGTCAAAACCTAACATTTCAAGCAAGATTTCAGATAATTCATTGAATTCTAATTCACCAAAGTTTTTTTCTCAACGTCAACATTTTAAATCAAGAATTGATACTTCCTATGCTGACTCATTTGTTTCAAAACCAAAAAGTGATTTTGTTCTTCAAAAGCCAAATTTTCCTAATCACACGAATAAACAAACATTGAAAGCTTCGCATGAAAAAAGGATAACTTCACGAAAGAATATTGATCACTGGCTCGAAGGAAGAGGAAGAATTTATCAATCAAGTAAATATTCGAAAGATCAAATCAAGGAAGCTTATGAAAAGTATGTAAATACTTCTTCAAATGGAAGTTTGTCATCAAAGGATTCGAATATCTTGGTAAAAGCATGGAAACCAATCACAAAAGCGAAGACCGAATAATCACAAACTCAGAATACGAAGGGTGATGTTAGTATACATACGAAACAAACAAAACCTTATGTTTCAATCCCTACACATAAAGATGTGGACATTATTAATAGTCTCAAAACTAAAGTTTGTGATCTAGTCAACAGTTATTCTTTCAAATCTTTGTTGAAATCTAATTTCCAAGGACCCAAAAAGCCTTGGGTACCTAAAATGTTACAATGATCGCATGTACTTTGTGACAAGCAATATGATAATAAATGGTACATTGATAGTGGTTGCTCTTGTCACATGACTGGGAAGAAGGAGAATCTTAGAGACTTTCGAAGCCTGAAAAATGTTGGAGTTGTTAAGCTTGAAAATAATCAAAAGTGACAAATCAAAGGATATGGAAAAATAAAGAATGGTCAATTCACAGTGAATCGAGTTGCTTATGTCAAAGGTTTACACCACAATTTGATCAGTGTATCACAACTTGTGGTCGACACTGGAAATCAAGTACTTTTTAACATAGAAGGAAGCATTATTTCGAATGTTTACACAAAAGAAGTTTTGATTAAATCCAAATGGAAGGGTGAAATGCTTACTTTCGACATCAATCCAATTGTGGGTAAACCTGATGTATGTCTTCTTTCGAAAGCTACATCAGATCTTAGCTGGCTATGGCATCGAAGACTTCCACATCTCAACTTTCGAAATATCAACAAACTTGTTGTGCAAGATTTGGTAAGAGGTTTACATGTACTTAAATTTGATAATGATTCTTTATGTGCAGCTTGTGAAGTTGGCAAGCAACATAAACAAGGTCATCCGATCACAATTGATTCAAAGATTGTTGAACCACTGGAGCTTTTACATATTGATTTATGTGGTCCTTCGATAGTTTCAACTCTCAACAAAAAACTATATATCTTAGTTATTGTTGATGATTTTTCCAAATTCACATGGGTTTATTTTCTCAGATTAAAATCCGAAGTGGCGCAAATCATGATTGACTTTATCTAGAAAATGGAAATTACCTTGAAAATGCTTGTTCGCAAAATCAAGAGTGATCATGGAACTAGGTTTAAGAACAATGTTCTTGATTTTTATTTTTAGTGGAAAAAGGCATTTCGCATAATTTCTCTTCACCATACACTCCGCAGCAAAATGGTGTAGTTGAACGAAGAAATCGATCTTTATGCGAAGCTGCCAAGACTATGTTGGCATATGCGAACTTACCACAATATCTTTGGGCTGAGGCAGTATCCACTGCGTGTTTTACTCAGAACAGATCTTTCATTCATCGATGTTTTAATATTACACCTTACGAAATTCTAAATAATCGGAAACCTAATGTAAAATTCTTTCATGTCTTCAGATGCAAGTGTTTTATTATGAATCTCATGGATAACCTTTCGAAATTTCAAGCTAAAGTTGATGAAGGGATTTTCCTAGGGTATTCGCATAATTCAATGGCATATCGTGTATTGAACAAGCGTACACGAAAAGTGGAAGAAACTTTTAATCTTACATTTGATGATTATTATATCAAACAATCTACACAACAATTTCAAAATCTTCCAATTTTGAAAGAAAATCAAGATGAATCTGAACCAATGCAAATGTTGGACATTGATTATGATTTGATATTTGGACTTTCAGATCATGCTGGAAATGCTGAAGAAAAAGCTCCGGATAATCATATCTCTGAACTTTCGAAGCTAACTGATGGCTCAACATCACCTCCTCAAGAAATAGGCGAAAGTATGCAAAATGATCTAATGGAGGGGGAGCATTTGGATTCGAACACTCTGACGGAGGGTGAGCATTCTTTCGAGGGGGAGAATGAGAGACAAAATGCTGATGTTGAGGGGGAGAGATTAAATGCTAATGATGAGGAGGAGCTATTACAAAATAATGAAAATTATCATGATGTTAATGATGTGTGTTCAATTGCAGGTTCAGATAATGATGAATTGTACGAAGACGAACCTTTGGACTTCGATCCAGCTTATCCACCAATGGACAAATGGACAAAAGATCACCCGAAGGAGCAAATAATTAGTAATCCACAAGAGGGAGTTTTAACAAGGGCTCAAATTCGTGCAAAGAATGAGGTATTAAATACTCATCAAGAGTTTTGCATGGTCAATATTTTTATCTCTAAATTGAACCAAAGATAGTAAAGATTACAATGGAACACTCAGATTGGGTTGTTGCAGTGCAATCTGAATTGTCTGAATTTGAAAGAAATAAGGTTTGGAGATTAATTCATAAGCCAAATAATGTTTCGATTGTCGGGTTAAAATGGACTTTCAAAAATAAACTGACAAAGATGGAAATATCATTCGAAACAAAGCCAGACTTGTTGTTAAGGGGTACTCTCAACAAGAAGGAATTGATTACGAAGAAACTTTTTCCCCTGTCGCAATACTCGAGGCGGTTCGTATATTTTTGGCTTATGCAGCTCACAAAGACTTTGATGTTTATCAAATGGATGTGAAGTGTGAATTTCTGAATGGAGAACTCGAAGAAACTGTGTATGTGGAACAAACTCCAGGTTTTGTTAACGAAGAACACTCTGATTATGTTTATATCTTAGATAAGGCAGTTTATGGTTTGAAACAAGCACCACGAACTTGGTATGCAACTCTTACTTCATTTTTGAAGCAATATAAATTTAAACAATGATCAGTTGACCCCACATTATTTCGTAAGAAAGTTGGGAATCATCTTATGTTTGTTCAAAATTATGTTGATGATATTATATTTGGCTCAACTGACCTTGCTTTGTCTAAAGAGTTCGAAGACTTGATGAAAAGTAAGTTCGAAATAAGCATGATGGGAAAAATTAATAATTTTCTTGGTTTAAACATTCGTCAAAGCAGAGAATGAATCTTTATTAATCAAGAAAATATACAAAGAATCTGCTAGAGAAGTTTGGGTTAACGAATAGCACAAAATTACGCGTTCCAATGGCAACTGGGATCAAACTAACTCCTTTGTTAGATAAACTCGCAGTTGATCTTAATTTATACAGAAGCATGATTGGATCTTTACTATATTTGACTGCTAGTAGACCTGATATCATGTTTTCTGTATGTAATTGTGCTAGGTATCAAGCAAATCCACGAGAACCACATCTCACTGCTGTAAAGAATATCTTTCATTATCTCAAAGGAACTCCTTCGCTAGGATTGTGGCATCCTTCGAATACAGTGTTCTTTATTCAAGCATATTCGGATGCAGATTTGGGAGGTTGTAATCTTGACAGGAAAAGCACAAGTGGAGGATGTCAATTACTCGATGGTAAGTTGGTGAGCTGGCAATCGAAAAAGCAGACATGTGTTTCAATCTCAATGGCTGAAGCTGAATATGTTGTTGCTGCTGCATGCACTTCACAAATAATATGGATTCAAAGTCAATTACGTGATTATGCAATTAACATGAAAAATGTTCCTTTATATTGTGATTCACAAAGTGCAATAAGAATTTGTCATAATCATGTGCAACATTCAAAGACTAAACATATAGCTCTTTCGTTATCACTTCTTCAAAAATCATGTGGAGGAAGGAAATATTGAAGTACATTTTGTGAAAACAACGGATCAGTTGGCTGATATTTTCACAAAATCTATGGATGAAAAATCGTTTGTATGCATTTTGGAAGTACTGGGAATGATTGATGGAAATTCAGTTCCATGCGAAATAGACAAACACTGATTACAAGAAAACGACAAAGAAAAATCATTAAGTGTTCAAAGGTTACTGTTCACAGTCAACTCTTCGAATGCTTCGAATTCGTATGATTGGTATTTTTATTAGCTTGATAAAACTTCGAATATTTGCAACGAGTACTTTTAATTGGTTTGTTCTTAATTTTTGAAAAATCAAAAACATCAAAAAGATTTTCTTATTATTTTGTTCTTAATTTTTGAAAAATCAAAAACAACAAAAAGATTTCGTTTCTTCTTTCTTTTTAAATACTATGTTGTAGATTTTCATGAAGATACAAAGAGGATAAGGCTTACAGTTCTAGGGTGAGGTACATTTATCATTCTATTCTTTGAATTTCAAATTTTATACTAGTTAAGATGTCCCTAGAAGCATGTTGTTGCATGTTGTCCGAAGCCTTGAAATGACTCAATGTTTGAAAGCCTTAATGAAATTTCCATACGAAGATTTCTTCCCAATTAGGCTTACATTCGCATTAGTTCACTGAGATACCTTACTCTTCTCACATAAGTTAAGAGTTTACTGTTTGGTCCTAAATAACAATGGTACATGTTCCTTCGTATACCAATCTTTTTCATATCAAAGTTCTTACACTATCACACACGAACACATATGTCCAAGAGGTTTCTGATTAAACAAATCGAAACTTAGATATATCAAAAATCTGTGTTTATGATCAAACATCATGAGACCCTGATGGAAGTGAAACCGAATTCAATTAAACTTTAAGGAATTGACGGGGAACTTAGTTCCAGATTTTAACGTAACATTTGTTTTTGTACCATCGTTCGAAACTCCAAATCATATTCATTTCTTATGCGAGGTCTTGATTAAACATTCGAAACCCATGATTTTTGTTACCCAACAGGATCCAGAATACAAATTTTTTCTTGAATATGATTTCAGTGTGAGTTTTATCTGAAATTCCATGTTACTTAAAATTTTTTCAAAGCAAACTTGTCACTGACTACATTGGTCAAACAAGTAATTTCTGTTACAATTACTCACCTTATGTTTAGGTTAATATGTAACGAAATCCATTAAACCACCTCAAAAGCCTTTTAAAAGAAGCCATTTGATACTTATTTACAAGTATTCAATTGTCATTCATGGGAAAATACATAATCTATTGATTATCTCTCTTGATAATTAACGAAGCAATCTTTGTCTGGGGTTTTAACTGTCTTCGTGTTAAATTAAATTTTTGACATCGCTGACTATCCAAATTTTTTTTGCTTCTTATCTTTATTCTTTCACACTTGACACACACGAAATCCTTGAGGTTCTGAGTAATACCAACTCAGGCTGATGATTTCAAAAATCTAGCAAATGAGTTTACTTTGAAACCATAAAGTAAAAGAGCCTTGACTCCATCCGAAGGGTTCCGACGGTTACTATTCTATTGGGGCAAACAATCCAAGCTGTTTGAAGGGACTGTTTTAATTCTGTGCGGGTTTTGAGGAGACGTGACAGTTACTTTATCACACATGGTTACTTTTTCATCATCATGACGCGGGTTTCTCGGTGACACGTCACAAATCATTAAATGCTTATCCCGCTTTGATTTCAAAATTCAGCGTTACATATAAAAGGGGATTCAAGGGTTCATTATCAGTTTACGCTTTCATATTCCCAAATTTTCTCTGATAAACATCCAACTCTCAAACCCTAACAATGGCGACTGCTAATCTTGATGCAACTTTGTCTCACCCACCGATGATGTAACCTCATTGCCGATAATTAAGATTCAAGGAACAAATTATCAAGTTGAAGTAAATGTCTCTCACTACCCTGAAGAACTGAAAAATGCTTATTTTTGCTCTGAAAAGTTCCGTATTATCAAAAGCTATGTTCAACTCATTCTCTGTTCCTCTATCATGGTTGTCTTAAGCTGGATCAACAGCAACTTACTCTAAAGCCTTGGATGCAGTGTTGTTTAATCTTGTGACTGATAAGAAGGTTAGACTTTCAAAGAAGCTTTTCTGCCAAATTATCAAGATACCTAATTCTCCGCCATACGTCGCTTTTACATTCCCACAAATTGTCCACATGTTCAATGAAATGGGTCATCAACCCCAATTGGCAAAGATCAGTGATTTCAAGAAGTCAGGACTTCCGAGTGTTTGGAATTTTTTGTTCGGCATTTTTCTCAGATGCTTGACCGGAAGAACTGTTGGGTTGAATAAGGGGCGGATGGAAGTTTATGCGATGGTTGCAGGTCTATACTACGATCTTCAGGTTGATTATTCTACTCAATTATGGAAGGAGTTCTTGAAGAGTATAGAGAACACAAATGCTATTCATGGCATTTCGTGTGCTCGATATTGGAGTTTGATCTTACAATATTTTTATGAGAAGGAAGGAATTTTGGTTCCAACAGATGAAGAAAAGGTTGTGTTTCATGTTTATAGTTGTCCGAAGGATGCAGCTGACGATACTGATGAATTTCCATTTGTTGCTCGCATTTCGGATGCTATGCTGAAAAGGGTTCATCCCACCAACACCATTCTCATTACTTACTTACAAACAATTGATACTTCTGTTGAAATCGGGGTTCTTTTGGGTAGAGAAAAAGAAAAAAAGACTAAACGTTCGAAGAAGGTTGTTGTTGAATCTTCTAAGAAATGTGTCAAAGAATCTACATCAACAAAGAGTCTGAAGAAAGTACCAATCTCAGAAGCCGAGCCAATCCAACCAGAAGTTGTTGTTGCTGATACCCCTTCGACTCAAAAGGAAATCATTCCTTCGAAGACTAGTGTTTTTCGAAAAATCAAGATGAAGTCCAAGCATAAGAGTCGATCACCTCTTACGAATGTTGTTCGCAAACCACAGGTTTCGCATCAAGGTGTTATTTTTCATGAAATTCCTGCCCCTGCTTCACCATCTTCTAAGAAGATAAGGGCCTACAGACATGGCCAAACACATATCGAAGAAGAAGAAGAAGAAGAAAGGTAGGGTGATTATTTCGTCAAAGTCTACTGCTGATGAAAATGAAACAATTCCGGAGACACCGGAAGCTGACCTTCAGAAAGATACCTCTCATATTGCATCAACTGATGTAACATCACCTGAAGTTTTGATTTCCAAGATAGTTTCATAGACAGGTGAGAATCTAAAACAACACGCGGCTACAAAATCAACTCTACTAATCACTTCTAGAAGATGCATAAGAGAGAGTAGTTGTTGGATCCAAAGTCTCAAGTGAAGCACCACAACTTCAAGGTTCCTCCTTTACCACCAAGATCACCAAAATGACTCTCCAAGCTTCAAAATACACTCACACACTTTAGGGTTTTGAAATAGGGATGGAGTTTGGAGTTAAGGAAGTGTGTGTGGCTATAATGATACTTAAATAGGATCCAAACCCTAAAATTTATGGTTTGCACCTTGGCTACGTACACCCAACGTACGCAAGCACTGCCTAAAATTACGAAAATGCTCCTTGGGACTAAATTTTCAAACCATATTCAAAGCAAAGGTCAAAAATGGAATACATGGAAATCAAGATGTTACACATGACACGACTATAGCATAAAAAACATAAAAGACATTAAACAAAACTACACATTATTCTTAACCATGGCGATGACTCTAAATGAACATAATGCAAATTCAAATGATACTAAAGAACCAACAATTTCATGATATTGTGACATATCCATCTTCCATCACCATCTATATCATCGTTTTTCACTTCCTTGTAGGCAAGATAATCGGCAACATCCAAATGTTTCATTTCTAGTTGATCTTTGGAAAAATAATTTTGAACAAAGTTTGTTTCTACATGTTTTCTTTCTTTAGACTTTAGAGAAGCTTGATAGAGATTAAAAAAATTCTTTGGAGTGTCACATGTACGAGACGAATGACTGGTCATTCCACATTGGTGACAAAAAATTTCAACTTTCATTTTGCCTTAACAACTTTTATCATTAGGATGTGGGTTTTTGTTATTTTCTCACTTCTGGTGGTTTCTTTTATCTTATTATTGTTGGGATGATAATTATAATGGCCTCCACCACATCCATGACCTCGGCCACGACCATGGCCACAATCAGGGTTAGACTCGTGACCATTATAATTATATGATGTTGCATTCACCTTAGGTAATATAGTAGAATTGTTCGGACGTGATTGGTGATTTTTCATTAAGAGCTCACTATTTTGTTTAGCCATAAGAAGACATGATATTAATTTACAATATTTTTTAAAACCTTTATCACGATATTGCTATTGTAGGAGCATGTTAGTGGCATGAAAAGTAGAGAACGTTTTCTCTAGCATGTCTTCATCAGTTATAGTCTCACCACATAGTTTTAGTTGGGAAGTAATTTTGAACATGACTAAATTATAATCACTCACAGATTTAAAATCTTGTAGCCGAAGGTGTAACCAATCAAAACAAATTGTAGGAAGTATCATCGTTTTTTGATGACTATACCTCTCTTTCAGATTATTCCAAAGATCAATTGTATCATTGACAGTGAGGTGTTCAACTTTTAATCCTTCATTAAGATGACGGCGAAGGAAAATCATTTTCTTAGCCTTTTCTTGGTTTGATGCTTCATTTGAAGGGTTTACATCTTTTATGGTGTTTCCAAGACCCATAGCATCAAAGTAAATTTCAAAATCAAGGATCCATGATAAATAATTTTTTCAACTAATGTCAAAAGCCATAAACTCATGTTTGGTAAGCTTTGCCATAGTGAAAGTACTAATCAAAATAAAGAGTTGTATGTTAGGCGATTGTTAGTTAAGAAGTTTCATAAAATTACTTGTGAGCATTATACATGTTAACTTATATATATATATATATATATATATATATATATATATATATATATATATATATATATATATATATATATATATATGTATGTATGTATATATATATATATACATATATATGTGTATATATATATATATGTGTATATATATATATATATATATGTATATATATGTATATATATATATATATATATATATATATATATATATACACACACACACATATACCTGACAATGACAAGAGCGACAAGAAGTTGGAGCTTTATTGTAGAGTCGTGTTATAACGTGTATTATAGAGTAAAAAAAAGATATGAAAGTGTAGAAAACTTTTATTCTAATATTTGCGATGAAATCGTCAACTGTCTGATACATATAACTCACTATTTATACTACCAAAATAAGATGAAAGATGAGTTGTAATATGAATTCACATTATGATGGTATTACACTTATAAAACTCAATAAAATGGTTGTCACTAATGCTAAATAATGATGGGGAGTTATAGGCTAAATGAGTGATCTAATGATCATTCACAAACTAATATTTTTTAACAACCTATTGTTTATAGTGGTCTGTTGATTTTGACCGGGGAAATCTGTCTTCAAAGAGATCCTCTAAAAGTTTCTCTCTATTTAATATCTTGTTAATATCTTGTGTTATATGTGATCTTACAAACAAGAAAACAAAACAACCAAAAAAAAATTGTGTCCTATTTAGATAGTCCATAGCCAACTAGGACTAAAAAATATTTAGGTGTCCATAACCACTACCGATTAAGGCTGTGTTTGACGCACCACAGCTAGCTGATAAGTTAGCTTATTTTTCAAGTTTTTTTATGTTGTCGTGTTTAGTAAGCCAAAAAGTAGCTTATAAGCTAGCTTTTTGAAAAGCTACTTAGACTAGCTTTTTAGGAGCTTTTTTAAAATTTTCCAAATACACCCCTTAATTAACTATAGAAACACATACTCTTACATGTCCTTTTATGTAATTTTATATATTTCAACTAGTTTTACCAAACGTTATTTTTTATCAGCTAGCTTTTCAGTTATCAGCTATCTTTTTATTTAGCAGCTAGCTTTTCAGCCATCATCAAGCTTTTCAGCTAGTCCGCCAAACATAGCCTAAATTAAATTTTGTGGCTTCTAAATATATTAAATGATTTAAATTTAAATATCCTTGGAATAACGACTTTTGAATGGCATTGTGAAAAGATTTCCATGGTGTGTTTAAAATTGTTGAGTTGCAAACATATTTTGCCAAGTCTTATCCTTTGGGCTGCAACATTCTTTATGCTTAAAACTAAATTTAATGGATGTCTTCCAGGCCAAAATTGAAGGGATGTTGAAAGGAATAACTGCTCGCTTTTTATTTCCTTTCTAGGCTTTTGGGTTTGATAAAGACACCGTGTAATATCTGAGTACGATGGAATGCTAAATCGGCCCGCAATGCTCCTAACAAATTCATGCATAAGCCCAAGTTTGTTTTTATATTCCGTATTCGGTAATATGTGTGGGTCAATTTTGCATACAGTAATAATTGGACACGGCGCTTGAAGCTTTGAAAAATATAAAATACATGAAAACTAATAGTTCATAAAAATTATTTGAAATAAAAGAATTTTTTTCTTTTGAAAAAAAAAAACTAAAAACTTAGACTATTGTAGGAAACTTTTTCTTTGTTTGTAATTTTTTTTAAAAGAGAAGCTCAATGCCAACATACCAATAATAAAAACAAAAGCTCTTTAATTCGACCATTTAGCAGACAATTACAGTATGTACGTCAGCTGGGGCCCAAGACCGAATAGGAATGGAATATCGTAGGGTTGATTGCAGTTGCAGGTAAATATAGTAGCAGTACAAAATGCTTAAATTCATGGTAAGTAAATATAAGGGAGTATAATCAATTTAATTGTTGACTTAATATTGCAAACACGAAATGCAACTACAAACTCACGGATGATGGTTCATCTACCTCTTCCTATGATCGGCCACATAAGTCCTTAAGGAAGGTGATTGAGTGAGACCATACGGGGCCACTGTTGTATTCATCTGGCCTCCGTTCTTTTGCTTCATCCTTTTCCTTGCCAAGTAGCCTCTAACCCAAGGCGTCAAGTCTTCATTGATCTTTATCATGAAGAAAAAAATAATGCGGTAGACGATAATCATACTAAATATAACCCCAAGGTCAATCCATTTTGATCTCGACACTGTGATTTGGAAAACATATTCCAAAATATATTCCCCTGGAATCTTTGGTAGGTCGGGTGTTTGGTTGTCAAACATCAACCCAACAAGATCGTTCTGGTATTGCCCCTGAACAATGAGAATAATAATAATAATAAGATTATAAGATTATATATAAACGATCAGAATCAGATCAATCTGAGGCTCAGGGTATATACGGTATTTCACAACACAACGCATGGCTTGAAAGAGTACTGTACGTACCTGAAGAGCCCAGAAGTGGAAACTGATGTACGACATAGGGTAACGCCAGACAGGTTTAGGGATGTCATTAGGGAGTCGGAAGTAACCGGATACCAACATGAATATACCCTGCATGCATTCATCGATCGTGTTTTAGTATGAATTAAGATAAAAACTAATTAAATTTATGAATCTGTTAGCTAAAATTAACCTGAATTCCGGCCCCAATGATGATGCCCATGAGGAAGTTGGGAACGACGCTAGCGATGGCCATCATGAGGCTTTCAACAACGGTGACACTTGAATACAGACACAATACGAAGAAGAGATAATGCACAAATCCAGGGTGAAGACGAACCATGTAGTAGCATATTGTTCCAGAGATAAACGTGATTAGTATCAAAAAAGGCATCGCGGATATGGTGTTGCTGATCACAAACGCAGTCACACCATAATGACCGTTCAGTCGTTCTCTTTGAAAAACCTGCAATAATAGTACTATTAATATTCATACATGGTTTATGCATATATGAGTATATATATATGTTAATTAATTTTTGACCTTCATATCTTCGACAAAGGAAGGAAAGCCTCCGATTGACATGAACGTGACAAAACCAAAGACAAAGGAGGCACATGCTCCTCTTGCTAGAATTGAATTGTAGCCTGTTCCAACGTTGAAATAGATGGTTCCGATGCAGACAGTGACCAAAACGTATATCACCAGCCGCAACCAGTAGTAA